ATCCGTAGGTCGCTACATTTTTATTCCATAAAAAGTACGTCCATCCTTCGTGTTGAAAAAAAAAAGAAGATTACGCTCTCGTATTGCAGCGCTCTCCCCACTGCAAAAATAGCATCGTAAATCGCGCCGCTATACGGTATTTTTTTTTGTTGCTTTCTCGAGTTCATCCGGCATGACTGTCGGAATTTACAGCTATCGGACGGGCGAGCGGGGAGAGAGAGAGAGAGAGAGAGAGAGAACTTGGCGAATTTACGCCTCGCGAATTGGCGGGAAACGCGTGAAAACGCAGCGGACGGGCTGCACTCCGCGGTAACCGCTCATCGAACGCGACAATTTCGTTCGGCCGGATCGGTAATTTGCGCGCGGGGCTCCGGGGACGAGGAGACGACAAGAGGGAAAGGGGTATCCCGCGGTTGGGCCCGCCCCTGAGACTCAGTTCATTCACACGGTCGTGTCTCGCTAAATATAATATGGCGGTGACCCCCGGTTCCCCGTTGTCGATCCCCTCGCGCCCTTCTTCCCGAATCAGCCGCTCTCTCTCGGGTCTCCCTTTCTCCCGCGCTTTCTTCTTCTTTTTCTCTCTCTCTCTCTCTCTTTCTCTCTCCTCGATATCCCCTGAATTCAACGCCCCTCTGATTACGCGTCGCCCTTTCGCGCCCCCGCACACCCCTTCCCGTCCTCTTCTTCCGACCGTGCGCTTACGGCCCTGCCGCCCTTCGGAGGACCCTGCCTGCGTCACACGAAGGAACGCGAGATGCATCTCTCCGTTTTGCGATCCCGCACTTTTTAACGACTCCGATCGCGTAACGATATATTTAACGCAACGACGCGCCGTTGCGTGAAATCATTTTCAATTTAATACCTTCGCGCATTTACGTTCTATCGGCAATTTCCTAATAGTGTAACATTTGTTGCGCAATATACGTAACGCGTTGCCGTTATTAATAAATAACGAGCGAGGCCGAGCGACCGAGTTAATTGCAATTGGATCGCGACGAGAATTCGCAGCTTGTAGCACAGAGGAACGCGCGAAAATTCAACTTTCTGCGTATATACCCCAGACGGGGCTGCGAGATAATAATTTATTTTTCATATTCTTGCCCGACTAGTTTCGCGTCTCGGGGTTCCTCGCCGCGGATCTTGGAGCATCTTAAGCCTCATCCACAACGGGGCCAGTCGAACGCGTTCTCTGTTGCCAAAGAGTCGCTCGCTGCGGAGCAACGCGGAGCACGTGCGTGCAGTCTAACAACCGTCGCGTTCGGTTTCTCTTTTCTAGAAATAAAAATAAGTAAAAAAATATCTTTCTCTTATAAACATATTCGGTGCATTCTCGAAATGATTACGCGTGAGTAGCGTGCGTGATGAGAGACTAATTTATCCACGAAAGATCGTAAGCGTACAAGTTATTTAAAATTTGTGCAGGCAGCGTGAAAGATGATTTGATCCGAGTAAACCGAGTAATCCGAGTCTTTCGGTTTTCATCTATTTAATTAGCAGTACAACCCTTATTAAAAATTAAAATAGTTTCATTTTGCGATGATATAATTATTATATGTAATATTTTATTTTATTTACTTATATATGTATATTTATTTAATATATTACATATATTTTCTATTATTTATTTCTTATTTATTATTTAATTATTGTTACTATGTATATGTATATATATCATGTATATAATTATATTATACACACATATATATATATATATATATATATATATATATTCGTGACTGACTAATGTGCGGGGATAAGCAATTTAACGGAGTCCCGCGTCGGAATCGGCCGCGTAAAATTCCGCGCGCGTAGCCTCTCGCGTGATCGGGCTCTTGGAAACGGCGCCTTACATCCCTTAGGCCCGGAGCAGCAGAGAGAACAGCAGAGGCCATTAAACTGTCTACGAACGAGGATGCAGGGGATTTTTACAACGTCCGAGAGAGCCTACCTACTCTCCGCGCGCGCTCCTATATTCTTCTTGCTCCTCTTCTTCTCCCCGCTTCTCTTTTCTCCGTCCCTCTCTCACTCTCCTTCCTCCTTTCTCTCTCTCTTTCTCTTTCTTCCGCTGGCTTCTTGTTTCTCGTAGGACCCACGGACTTTTTCTTCTACGCCCTTCTGATCTCCGCGGCGGCCCAGCAACGGCCCAGCAGCGGCGTCGCCGGACCGGGACCGGAGTCCGCCGCGGAAAGAGAAATTCTCAACGCGACCTTCCCGAATATTCGAAACGTGCCGAACACTTTCAATCCATCTTCATCACTCGAATATTGGCTATTGAGCTGCGCTCTCCGAACGAGCCGTTCGTCGCGAAACGAGGAGGCCGGCTTATGTCTCTAACGTCGCGTACAGAAATGTGCGAGCGATATGCGAGCGACTTTTCAACTCTTTTATCCGTTTCGAAATTCAATTCCGATGAGCTAGACTCAATAACGAGGAATAATTTTAACGATTGCCGATAAGATAACGTTAATTTCTTTCCAGTGCAGTATATGAACGCCGATCACTAATGCGACGCTTTGCATCTCTCTGCAGGTTTGCCCCGCCGATTTTGCCGCACCAGACTTCTTCGAGGACGTGCACGCCGGCCGCTGGACCAGGGGAGGCCTTCCCCCCCTCTCAAGGATTTCTGGACCGTCTGCGCGGATAGATCCCCGGAGGACCGGGGACGATAGTAATCGGCTATACTTGATGACACTAACCCGTAGATCCGAACTTGTGGGCTTTTTTATATGCATACCGCAAGCTCCTATCTACCGGTACATGTAGTCAGGCCGGCGTTAAAACTTTTCGACGGATCCTCCTCCTCCTCCTCCCCCCTCCAATATCATCATCACCGTCACCACCACGATCAACCATCACCATCACCACCATCACCATCAACACCACTACCAATCACCACATCACCATCACCACCAACCTTCCGTTCCCCCGAACGCTCTCGCGCGGCACTTCCGGTTATCAGCGACAGACTTCTTGCCGAGTAATTTCCTCGCACGTGAAAAGGGCACACCACGTTTTGCATCTGCTGACCGTTGAAGCGCGATCGACGTGCGCCGTTAGAGTTAAGGGATACACGTGCGTCTGGGAAGACTGACTCCAAAGAGTTAACAAACGTACGTGACGTTTGTGCGCCGATGAAAAACGCTCTCTTTATGTAATGATACATTGTAAAGCGACATCGTAAGACAACGCTTTTATTGTAAGACAAAGCGTATCTCTCCGGAAATCCGGAGATATGGCAAGCTCTTCCGCGTGCGGCGGGTCACTTTTGTAAAGCCAAGAGAAAAAGATTGCGAGTCCGTAACTACAATCGACGCATCCAACAGCGTGATATTGTATCGACGTGATTTAATTGTGTATGTTGTCAATAGACGCGAATCGCGAATTCGGGCGCACTTGAACCGAGCGTGCGCTCGCGCGCGCGAGAGAAAGAGAGAGAGAGAGAGAGAGAGAAAGTGAGAAAGAAAGAGAGAGAGATATTCGTCCGGTGAGTTTGAGCGTGAGAGCGGGAGATGAGGCGAGGGACGACCTGTCGAAAAGTCGGTCGGGTGGCGAGTTGAGGGCGAGGAGAAGAACGGCGGACACACGAGCGGAGGGGCGGAGAAGCCGACCGCGACGACGTCTGGGTGAGGTAGTAGGTTGTATAGTAGGGAATGGAAATTCGCGAGATACGAAGTCCACTGTACAACTTGCTAACTTTCCCGGTCGTCGGCGCTACGACGTTGCTGGGCGCTGCCGACGGAACCCGCTCCACACGGAGGACTTCTCGCGTGACCCGGGCGCCGCGGAATCTCCCCACGAGGGAGGAAACGGCCTCTGTCGTTATGTTTTTCTTATGCGCGAACGTAACACAAAATCGGCGGAGCCTTGCGCGCCTTGAAACATGAATGCGTACGCGTGGCATTTTCTCTTGGTGTGTAAATGCGTGCGTGTGCACGTGTTGTATGTGTGTATGCATATGTGGTGTGTGTGTGTGTGTGTGTGTGTTTGCATGGGTATGTGTATACGTGCGTGCATGCATACGTGAGGGGGAGGGTAACGTATATACTCGCAATTACCGTTCTCTTGCGAATGAGACAAGGCGCGAACAATTTCTTCGAGAGAAGCCCTTTCGTCCCGAGATACATCCGTCCATCTATGTGCTCTCTCCTCGGAGCATTATAATTGCGTAATGAGAGCAAGAAATATGCTTCCGTCCCTTCATTGACACTGACCGTTTCTCGTTCTCCAAGCGCGAATCTTGTTGATTCGGCTAGAAATTCCGCTTCTCGCGAGCCAAACTAGAGATCTCGATTAAAAGTGCAACTCATGCCAAAAGACGATGAAACGGTCTTCCGGCGGAATTTCGTTTTATTATTTTCCGTCATGAATCGTTACGATTTCTTCGAGAGATCTCTAATAATTCGCGACGCACTGTCCCGGGCAGTCGTCGAATTTGCATAAGATCCTCTTTGCAAAAGAGAAAGGCCGGAACGATTGCAGAGCGCGAGGGTGAGATGGAAGGAATGAAAGTGGTAGGTGTGTGTGTGTGTGTGTGTGTATAAGAGAGAGAGAGAGAGAGAGAAAAAAAGGGCAATGGCGGGCGGGCTGATTGTAAAGCCTGCCGCGTCGCCGGTTCCCTGAGACCCTAACTTGTGACGTCGCGTCCGATATCTCACAGGCTAGATTCTCTGGTATTGGCGATGAGTGCTGCCTTTTGCCGATCAAAAGTCAGTCCTAGCAACAGAGATACAAACGTCATCGCGTTTCGACTACTTGCCGCGCCGCATTCATATTATTCTGCGTATTTTTTTATTTTTTATTTTTTTCTTTAACTCTCCGCGCTACTGTGTGTTTGGGGGAACGAATGTTTAACTCTTAGACTTAAAGGAAACTCGCATCGGTTTCTCTTTATCGACTTAAATTCCTTTATATTCATTTATCTTGTACAGCTGCAAAGATACAGAAAAGAAGATAAAATTATATAAATCGTTATTGAACACCGGAAAAAAGAAATATTTTTGTCCCATTAATATCATATAGAAAATATTTAAAGTAATAGAGAGATGATTTCAACGTCGATCTGAAAAATCATTAGTCGTAAACAAAAGCTTAAATTCAGTTCTTACTGTTAGAATTAAATAAAGAAGAATACGCTGTGCGCGGGATATCGACAGAATTACGCATCAATTACAACATCTCGCAACTCTTTATAAGACGCACTGTTTATTCGAAAACTTTAGATTTACAATGTCATCTTCGCGTCTATTATTTCAAAGCGCATTTTATAAAATACTTATACTTTTTCGATGGCCTTAAAATTTTACATATTAACATTTATCTGTATAATAGAAAAATATATCAATATCGATTAATTAAATACGTTTCAACAACTTTGTTATGTAACTGTTTTTCCTTTTATATACAAGTTCCTTAAATCGACGGCGCAATATCTAGCGCGAAAATTATATAACATATTACCTTGAGTTCTTGGTCGCAGCTAAAATTATATCTATCGAATATCTTTTTTTTTATACAAGAACGTGAAGATATATACTCTGTCATATGTAGGTCCGTAATGATACAACGTAAATGTCTCCATAAAAGTACACATGTAAATCCATAATGATACGAATATTAAATAATCAACACAGTTTTCGAATTGTTTCAATATTACGCTACAATTCACGCTCTTGTGTACGCTGCAAGATCTAATAAACACTTCTAATTTATATCTAATTTACATTATAAAATCTATTTTTACATAAACATCGGTAAATTGTACTTCGCGGCTTGCTTGCGAGATAATGTTACACGCTCAAATTCATTAGGAAAAGACACACGAAGAAATTCATAGTGAAGAAATAACGCGGCAATGATATCCAATCGATAAAAGACTTGAAGTCAAAAGTGATTTTACGCAGAGCTTTTTTCATGTATACAACATTTAATATAGAAATAATTATGCCGAATGACGATATCATGAAGAGACGAGGTGCTTGCAATAAGAGTTATTTTATTACTAATAGCAACCAAAAATATATAGTTTCATCAGAAATATCGTCCCCTTTCCTCGACAAGCTTACTCAACTCTGCCGCTGAGTAACCCAGCAACTGCTTCAAGTCGCAAACGAACTTGTAAACGAATCGCTTGCCGTGCACCTTAGAAATCATGTCGCCGTCGTAATAATACCGAAGCGCTCTGCTCAGCTTCTCGTAATTCATCGACGGCTTATTCTTGCGAGCTCCCCACAGTTGCGCCACCGCCTCCGGCTGATTGAGCTTGAATTCTCCGTCGGTGCCCACCCACTGGATCTCGTTTCTATAATCTTTGTCCGTTAATAGCTCCAACAGAAATTGCCACAGCTGTATCTGGCCGCTATTAACGGTTCGACTAGAACTGGCAATCGTGATCGAGGTCGGGTCGACATTCTCCAATGGCACATTAACCACGCGCGCCTGTTGATTTACCGTGGACTTCGACTTCGGCACCTTCTGGCTTCGTGCTTTAATAGATTTCTCCGCGACACCTTCGTTGGACGAGTCCGGTGTGTCTTTTTGTACAACGGCTGCAAGCAAACAGTAGTAATAAAGTCAAACAAATGAAATAAAATCTAACAGCGACTTAAATCTATCAAGGAGATATTTTTACCGAGCTGTGCAATGCTATATTTCGTATGATAAACGCACCGACAAATTTGCATTTCCTAAGAAGTTCGAAATGTGTCCAAAACACGTCTCCTGGGTCGAGAGGCACTTTTGCATGAAACTCCTCCATGGTGAGGTTACACAACTGCGCTCCGGTAATATTCCAATCGGCCAAACGTAACGATACTATATTGAATTGTCTAACGGCCCACTGCAGCCAATGTTTTACGTGTGTTTCTGACCAATCTTTTGGATCATTTGGTATTTTCAATCGCTCCTTTTTTCCACCCAAAAAATACATATGCATTAGGTTAGGACAAATCATTTATATAGACGTTCTATTTTATGTAGTCATAACTTCAGATAAATTCAATTACTAAAGGCAATTAAATTATTTGTATAAACGTGCAATCGATTTGTGTTTTTGAAATAATAATATATAGGTTTTTTTAAATCACTGAAGTTACACCTTCATAAAACAAAATGTTTCATATGAATAAAGTTAATAAAATCACGTTTCTTTTACAACATAACTGATTTACCAAATGAAATACTAATCACATATATACTTTTCATAAAAATTAAATTTTAATTACAACAGTACGCACAAAATAAACTTAAAACATTTCAATTACCTGGTCCTTTTTATACTGCGCGTCTATCATCCACTTTATAACATTCCGTTTGTTGTTTTCCGGAACAGGAGACACCGATGCTGCATCATAACGAAAATATTATCTATCACAGTAAAATCAAACTCCGAAACCAAACGTATACACAATTCATACATACAATTGTCGTTCACAACTTCAATGTAATCGTCCGCTGGCTTAAGAACGTCCACTATATTAATACGTTTCTGCATCGGCTTTATTTGTACGTTAATCTGAACCAGCCCTTCTCCCTGGACACACTGATCGACTAAATTCTTGTGGCTTTCCAGCTGTTGTAACAAATGAAAAATATAAATTTCAGGCTGAAGTAAAATTAAGATAAACAGAATGTCTTAACTCCTACACTTCCCATCAACTGTTAATAATAATACGTTTGAAGTTGAAAAGAAAATCTTAATCTCAAAATGCAGAGATTATAACAGCCTTTTTAAAAGAGAAATGTTTGAAGTTGACCATTTAAGTTATCCAAAATTCGCGCGTTCAGCGCGCATTTTGCATTGTACAGAAATAAAGGCACACGCAAAATTATATTAATTTCAAGAATAAAATTGATGCTTGAAAATTCACTACTACAAGACATGCCTGACTGAGCGCGTGAATTTCACAGACAATTTGGTCAACTTCTCATTTAAGATATTAAGCAGTTTAGCACTACAATTATCATCTCCAAATAACATCAGACGTCCATCGATGGTTGTCACAAGAGACACGGGACTCTACTCTAGATAAAATTTAGGCGCTTACCATCTGTGCGTTTTGTAACCAAAACGAATAGTTCTTTAGGTCTAAGCTGAGCCTGTCCTCCAACAGAGTCCTCAACGTGGACAAGGGCTGCCTAATGTCCATATGCTGCAGCAGTACACCCTCGTTGCTGTACTCGCCGTTCAGGCAGCTCTCCATCGTGAAGCTGGGCTCGACCTCCAGGTCGGAACTGTCCTGCTGCAGCTGCGCCATAATATCGTCCTCGGAAGCCGAGAACATCGCCTCCGGCTCCATTTTTATCTGCCGTATCATAGCGTACTCGGAATCGTCGTCGGTGTCGAAGCTGAACGAGAAACAGAACGAGATAAATACCTTTAGAGCGAAGTACGGACCCGCGGATTAGGTTATACCTAAAGAGACGAGGGCACAAGCTCTCTCGTTAACCTTTTCTCAGAACTCTTCCGGCGATTCCCAAGATCCATGTTTAAACGGAGGATCAACGGCAGAACACGTGAGTGATATGCAACCTATGGGCTAGTACTGTCAACAGTGTCAACCACTCGACGAAACAGCCGTTCGCGTCAGCAACAACACCTGCTCCGACGCTTCGTATATCTGCGGACGGAAGGAACACGGCATAAAGAATGGCAAGACGCCCTTCCACGGATATCGATAGAAGTGTGCTATTCACAAGGTGAGCGTGTGCGAAGAAACGAAATAGCGAATCTCATTGGCTGCGCCAGAGAGAAACATGAGGCGCATCAGCGGATCAACCACGAGAGCCAGCCAGACTCCAGAGCGACCGTCCTGGCCTTTTACGTGGGACCGTCAGAACTCCATAGAGTTCCTCTAGTCAGAGTTGAGACACGAGCGGTCCTCTTCGTGATTGGTGCCGCCATATTTCAGTTTGTCGATGTGTTAGTTAATGTAAGTGAATAGGTGAAATCAGTTTTTGTGGTATAGAGTACTACAGACAACAGAGTTGTCATGGTGTCACACAGAATTGACAGAATCAAATTATAGAATTTTACAAAAGTAAGAAATTATTCTTCAATCATTGTATGGTATGGTTCTACAGAGTGTATCACCACAAACCGATTCTGCAACTATATCTAAAATTAAACAGTAAC